GAGTGTCCTTCTTGGATATGGAAATGGTTCTTTTGCAAAAGAAACAAAATATTCCGTTGGCTCTTCTCCAACATCTGTAGCTGTTGGTGATTTCAACAACGATACTCGACTAGATATCGTTGTCGCCAATTATAGGAGCGATGATGTGAGTGTCCTGCTTCAATATGGAGCGATAGAATATGAAATGGCCTACGCATCTGGCGGTGGAGCTAGCCTACAATATGTAGTGATTGGTGATATGAATAACGACACTAATTTGGATATCATCTTGGCTAATTACGGTACTAATAATGTAGGTGTCCTTTTTGGATATGGAAATAGCAGTTTCAAAAATCAAGTGATGCTTAGCACTGGCTCAAATTCTCATCCGACTTTGATTGCTATTGGCGACTTCAATGGTGACAGTATCGTAGACATTGCTGTGGTCAATTATGGTACAAAACAGGTAGGTATGATGCTTGGATATGGGAACGAAACATTTGCAAGTCAAACAAGTGAAGGAATTAGTTTCGATTCACGTCCGTTAGCTATGGTTTCTGGTGATCTTAATAATGACAAACGATCGGAAATCGCTATCACCTACGACGGAAGAGATAATGTGGATATCTTTGTTGCATACAATCGTTGGCCTTTTGCAAAAGAAGCAAAATATTCAGTTGGCTCTTCTCCAACATCTGTAGCTGTTGGTGATTTCAACAACGATACTCGACTAGATATCGTTGTCGCCAATCATGGGAGCAATGATGTGAGTGTCCTTCTTGGATATGGGAATGGTTCTTTTGCAAAAGAAACAAGATATTTAGTTGGCTCTGCTCCAATATCTGTAGCTGTTGGTGATTTCAACAACGATACTCGACTAGATATCGTTATTGCCAATTATTATAGCAATGCTGTGAGTATCCTGCTTGGATATGAGAATGGTTCTTTTGCAAAAGAAACGAGATATTCACTTAGCTCTTATCCGGAATCTGTAGCTATTGGTGATTTCAACAATGATACTCGACTAGATATCGTTGTTGCCACTACCAGTAACAATGCTGTGATTATCCTTCTTGGATATGGGAATGGTTCTTTTGCAAAAGAAACCAAATATTCATTTGGCTCTTCTCCAACATCTGTAGCTGTTGGTGATTTCAACAACGATACTCGACTAGATATCGTTATCGTCAATTATGGGAGCAATGATGTGAATGTCCTTCTTGGATATGGAAATGGTTCTTTTGCAAAAGAAACAAGATATTCAGTTGGCTCTCTTCCAATATCTGTAGCTGTTGGTGATTTTAACGGCGATACTCGACTAGATATCGTTGTCGCCAATTCTCGAAGCAATGATGTGAGTGTCCTTCTTGGATATGGAAATGGTTCTTTTGCAAAAGAAACAAGATATTTAGTTGGCTCTTATCCACAATCTGTAGCTATTGGTGATTTCAACAACGATACTCGACTAGATATTGTTGTCACGAATTCTTGGAGCAATGATGTGAGTGTCGTTCTTGGATATGGAAATGGTTCTTTTGCAAAAGAAACAAGATATTCAGTCGGTTCTTATCCACGATCTGTAGCTGTTGGTGATTTCAACGACGATACTCGACTAGATATCGTTGTTGCCAATTGGTTCAGGAATGATGTGAGTGTGCTCCTTGGCTATGACTATATAGTTTTTGTAAAGCAAATAGTACTTATGATTGGTAATGATTCCCGACTACAGTCGTTAGTGATTAGTGATTTTAATAATGATGGTCTAATGGATATCGGCGTCGTCAATTCAGTTACTCACAGTATTGGTATTTTTCTTGGATATGGTAATATATCTTTCGCATATCAAGTGATATACTCAACTCGGCCATATTCATCTCCATGCGCTATGGCTGTTGGTGATTTCAACAATGATACTCTAGTGGATATCATTTTTGGTAGTTGTGACTCGGATAAGGTTGGCGTTTTCCTTGGATATGGTAATGGCTCGTTTGGAAATCTAACGGCGTATTCAACAGGTTCAGATTCGTCTCAATACTCTCTAGGTGTTGTTGACATTAACAACGATACTATACAGGACATTGTCGTTGCGAATCATGACAACAACAATCTGGGCGTACTTCTTGGATACGGTAACGGCACATTCGCAAGTATCGTCCTATTTCCATTGAACTATGGATCTAATCCATTCTTTATCGTCGTTGGAGACTTCAACAATGACAGAAAGCTAGATATTGCAGTCGTCAATAATGGAAGTGACAGTTTAAATATTCTCTTACAGACTTGTTAGCCTTTTCTCTCGTACTTTATATTATTGAATTATTCACTCGTTTGTAATGCTCCTATATTTAGATAGAACCATTTTTATTAACTCTTCAAATGTTTCTCAGTTCTAAAGATGAATGGAGAAAGGGGTGTGGGTGTGGGTGTGGGTAGGAATGTGCAGTTTCAGTATACTGACCACCGGTAAAATCACACTGGCGTTCACCGGTACGCTGATGGCACTGCGCGCACTGTCTGAAGTGACACACTGACACTAAGCACACTGTCTGCAGTGATACACTGACAGTGACCGCATTGTCTGCAGTGACATAGTGACACTGAGCGCACTGACTGCAGTGTCTGCACCGACATCTGTATTCACCGGATCAGTGCATACACTGACACTGACTGCACTTGTTGCACTGACGCATACTGGAACACTGACGTACTGATACTGATTTCCATTGACTAGAATTTATATACAGAAGACGACGACATATTCGGCTTGTAATATGTGGATTAACAAAAAAATTTCATCGAAGCATATCTGCTCAGTAGTTTGGTTTCTTGGTTGAGATAGGCTACATACACTTTTACGTACATACACTTTTTCAACCGTTGCATAAAAACAGAGTAAATAAAGCAGAACATTTATGTAATCATAACGATATAAATAGTTTTACAAAGTCCACATACACTTTATGAAACGCTCATCTTGTTTAAATCAATGTGGCTCAGTAATAAAATCCCGTGGTTGTGTGTCGGTATTAGGACTATAAGTGGCGTATTTCGTTGAAATTGACTTTATTATTCAAAATTATAGATTACTTAAATGAAACCTATTTTCTGGAGGAATAGGCATAGTCATTTCGCTAATTTCATTGATAGTCATAAATAAAGCCATGAATAGTGCATACTTTTATAAAATCGGTGACTTGATACTTCATTGAGCATCGCTGTTCCGGTGAACACTGACACCGGTGCAGCCAGTGTATGCACTGGTTCAGTGAATATTAATTTCGGTGTAGACACCAGAGATGTCCATCGCGGCTGACAATCTGCCGCTGCCGCGCCGCGGCCTTAGAAAAAAAAAGCTGCCGCACCGCTGCCGCGCCGCGGCGGTTTATAAAAAAATGTTGCCGCGACGCTGCCGCACCGCGATGACTTATAAAAGAAACGCTGCCGCGATGAATTATAAAATAAACGTGCCGCCACCGCGCCGCTGCCGCGACGATTTTCAAAAAAGTGTTTCTAATTTCACTGCTGTGACTATATTTGACCAGAGATATGGGTACTAGTCCATCAGATTTATTCAATATCAGGGCGTTTCATTTGTAAATCGTGAAATTCTATTAAATTCATACAGTTTTTCAATGTCCTCCAAAAAAATCCTGCCGCTGCCGCGCCGCTGCCGCGATGGTTTTTTAAAAAACCTGCCGCTACCGCGCCGCTGCCGCGATGACTTTTAAAAAAATCTGCCGCTACCGCGCCGCTGCCGCGGTGATTTTTTTTAAAAACCTGCCGCTGCCGCGCCGCCACCGCCACCGCGGCAGCGGCAGCGGCAGCGGCGGCGGCGCGGCAGCGCCGCGATGGACATCTCTGGTAGACACTGTAGTCAGTGCACTCAGTATCAGTGTGTCATTGCAGACAGTGCGGTCACTGTCAGTGTGTCATTGCAGACAGTGCGCTCAGTGTCGGTGTGTCACTGTCAGTAATTCACTGTTTTCACCGAAACTGCACATTCCTAGGTGTGGGTGTGGATGAAGAGAACATCCACACCCGCACCCGCACCCACACACCCAGACCCACACCCACAGCTCATCCCCATCCCCATCCACAGCCACACCCCACATCCACACTCACACTCACACCCACACCCTCCTGGTCGCGCACGCACGAATAGGATAAACATTGCTTTCATCAATTCAACGTGATTTATTTGAGAGAAAGAAAAGAACAAAAAAATAATCCATCGTTTTGACTCTATTCAATAGAGAAACGTTGAACACGATGATTTAGACGATCGGTAACATAGAGATTGCCATGTCGATCGAAGGACAAACTGATGGGACGATTGAACTGATTTGCTCCTTCTCCTGGACCATTGCCATCCACAATGACAGTGCCCTGTTTTGCTTCTTTAGGCCAGCGCATCACTCGACGATTCCACGAGTCTGCCACATAGATGGTACCCAATGTATCGACGAACAATCGATCAGGATCCCACAATTGTGTCAGAGCATTCCCTCCGCCTCGGCCCCCAGCGACGACAATTCCTTCTTTTGCACCTTTATTCCATTTCATCACACGATTATTCTCACGGTCTGACACGTAGACAGTATGTTGTTGATCAACAAAGATGTAGCGCGGATCGTTGAGTTGATTGAGACCATCACCTTTGCCATTGCCACCAGCCACGACAGTTCCATCCTTGTCCCCTATTCGATATCGTCTTACTTCATGTTTTTCGATGTCAGAGATGTAGAGATATCTCTGATCATCCATGGCCAATCCATAACAACGGATGTTGTCGATGAGGATTTCTCCTTGAGTTGCGCCACTACGACGAGACCATCGTACGACTCGTCGATTCCCGTAATCACAAATAATGAGACTATCCGTCTCTTTGTCGATCAACACATTGGCTGGATCATTCAGTTGATCCAATCGATTTCCTTGATTATGACCACCAGCTATAACTTGTCCATTCATATCACCCATCTTCCATTGGATGATACGATGATTGTACATGTCAGCAATAACCATCGTTTGATCATCATCAACGAAGAGATCGAAGGGGTGGTTGAGTTGATTGGTGGCACTGCCTGCTCCATGACCTCCAGCAACGGTCACTCCATTCTGCGTCCATCGAGCATCAACTGGAATATTCGGAATCACTACAATGAACGAAAAAGAAAAGGAATCGTCGTTATCGAAGAGATATCCCCTCACTCGTGGGAGAAAGAGGTATGAAGGAGATATTCGTCTTCTTCGAAAGCACTTTGGTAAAACTTTCGTGAATGTTCTTTCTGCAGATAAAAATGCAGAAGCTTCTCCGAGTTTCCTATGAAAAAGAAGGATTTCGTAACGATTCTTATATCTATGTCACTTCTAGTTCTCGCCAAGATCTCTGAGATGCCAAAAAAAGTAGAGCGTTCGCAGTGGATGAAAATTGTACGTGAGCTTTCGATAGAAAAATATAGAGATCTGAGGATTTTATTTTGTAATCTCGAATGCAGAATCTTTTGCAGGATGATTATTTATACAGCTTGATTCAGTTATTTTTGATAGTTTTGTGCAGTTTATTGTATCTATACAAAATATCAGAGATTTTTTTTGTTTTCATATAACTGGATAAAGCATCAATTACTCTATCGAATTAAATAGTTTCTATTTTTTATTGATTTTACATCTTGTCCAAAAATTCGATAAAATTCGAGAAGCGCTGTTACGAAACTTTTGCACGCTCATATTTATGCAACAATGAGCTCAATAATAATGAAAATTGCTTTTTAAATGGAAGAGATCCATGTCACTTCCTCGTATAAAAAATATTGGACAAAACAGATTCGAAAGTGTAGAGAAAAATGACTTTTACTGTTAAGTTTTGGTCTATTTTTCTATCAGTGAAAAACCAAGTTTGTAGTACTTTTTACAATAATTCATCTTTAAGACTGGACGTAACTCTAATCAAAATTATATAAATTGATAGAGGAATCAATGTTCTATTCAGCTGTATATATATGAAAGAAAAAAGTTTACATGTTGAAATAATCAAAATTTCTTTGTAGAAAAGTAAAAAACCAAATATATGAAAAAGTTCAGAAACACATTTATTAGAAAAGTCACCCAAGCTTATAGTAAAGATAAAGCATAAACCCAATGAAAATATATAGCCCGATAGAGAAAGGACAGGTCTATCATCCTATACAAAAATAAAAAGTTTCAGTAGTCCAATAAATATTAGCCATCGAAAAAATTACCTCAGACATTATCTTAAAATTGCTGAATAAAAAAAACTCTTTTTCGCTGCTTTTCGATATTTATCAAATTGTTCAAGTAGATCGAGAGAAAATAAAATGAAAACTATATGGTTCGATAGAGTAATCAATACTTTATTTAACTCGATCAAAATAAGAAACTCTCAAGATTCTACATAAATACAGCAAACTACACAAAATTATCAAAAATAACTGAATCAAGCTGTATGAACATCAGACAAGAATTTAAGCCATAAAATAATGAACCATGTGAAACTCCTAAACTGAAAAAATCCTGAGAAGATTCTAGCTGCATCTTTTTAGGAGGATGTCGAATTCTTGAACCAGAAACATCAAACCTAATCCCTATGTTCTTGGGAATTCTTAAGGATCAGTATATTGATAGGATCTCAGCAAGATCATAAGAAGATTCGTATGCATGCGAAACTGAGTAAATTTGACAGAATTCCACGCGGATCTTTGGAATTTGACGTCTGCTACTTTTTGAAATATTCGGAAGACTAATGCTAATCTTATTGGTACTCTCCATAGGAAAAGATAAGGACTTAGTTAGCTTTCTACAGGCACGAGCTTAGAATATTCTTTTTGTAACTTGGAAAGCAGGAGCTTATTCAGAGAGGTCAAAAGGGTAACAGTCAGATATTATCAAATTTTCGAAAAGATTTGATACAAAACATCGTCTGGAAATGCTAGAAAGATTCCTATGGATTACAGACAAGCACCTTAGTTATAAAATAATAGATAGTGTCCGAATTCAAAACTGAAAAATGCTCAGGTTTTATCTGCATCTTACTAGAATGCTGATGCTAAATATTTGAACTAATATGAGTATGAATGGATATGAGTGTTCCGATTCTTCATTCGCACCTACACCCACGCACACCTTATAAGAATTCAATGTTATTATCTTTTTTGTAATAAATGACTTATTAGTTTGATAGTGATCTGTAAGAACGCATCAAATTACAAAAACTCAAAAGCATTTGAAATTCAACTATAATAAGTCAGTTTTTAGAAGATGATAACAAGATTGATATAACTAAAAATTCATCTAAATTATATTTCAAATAATGCACGCAGATCTATGGAATATGTTATTGTTCTCTCTACGGATGTATTCAATTAAAAAAACCGAATGTTTACTAACATGTAAAGATATACACTGTGTCTTAAAAGTTCCTTCCTAAAAGTTTTTTCGTTCCATTTCACTATTGACTGGACTTTATTGACTCACTTTTTTTTGATAATACATAAATGCACAGAGTTTTTATTTCTAAAGACAAACTTCAAAAGCATTGTTGAAAGTTAAGACCTTTAGCCAAAATACAAAAATTTAGTCTGTCTTCTTTTTCTAGAAAAGCATTACATAGCATTTCTTTTTTAATAACATGAAGTTGTTGTGTAATTCGAATCTTTAAATTGTCCAATACTGAAACGATCTTTTTACACAATTTCTTTATGGTATGTCTTTATGAAAACAAAATGAATAGTACTAAACCAAAATTCAAGCAATTAAAACACATATCATGCATGAGTATTTTCAGAAATAGAAAATAGGCTGAAGTTTTGTTTTTCGGCTAAATGTCTTAACTTTTAACAATGCTTTTGAAGTTTTTCCTTAGAAACAAAAAACTCTGTGCATTCATCTATCATCCAAAAAAATTAGTCAGTCAAGTCCAGTCAATAGTGAAATGAAATGAAAAAACTTTTAGAAAGGAACTTTACTTTTAGGACACATTGGGCAATAAAAATTATTCTACGTTTACGAGGTTCATTGAACTATTGCACGCTCTGTATATAGAGATTGTTTCATAGGTTTTCTGCCATTCTAAGTATTTTTTTCTATAGTTTCCAATATATAAAAGTTGAACAGACGTACAAAATATATATTCGAAACGTCTGAACTATGATCAAAAATTCGCTATACTTTCAACTGACATCATTATTAAGAAAATACATTATTCGAAAACATGCGAAGATCTTTTTATCGATTTTATTTTCTACTCTTTTTTTTCTTATGATGAGAGGATCATGTGATTCATTTTTGTCCTTTTATGTTCTTATGAAATCTAGAGCTAAAATAAGTTTCGACGTTGTTTTTGTTTTACATATTTAGAATAAAAATATAATGATCAGTTTCATAAAATTTATTTGTAATACTTTTACTAATCATCTACCTTCTTAATATCGATATTGTCAATTGAGTACAATAAATTTTGAACGATAACTTAGATGACCTTGAAACTTAAGAAATATAGCTATTCATTTCTTCCTTGTCTGTGTTAATGTGAATAGAAAAATGAAAAAAAAAACTATTTTGCTCTAGACAATAAATAGAAAGATGAAACGTTTACCATCTGTATTAAATCTTGACTGACAATAAGTTGCTCAGGAAAAAACTAGTTATCATATACTACGAATAAGAGAGAAAAAAAACATGACACTCTTCATGCAAAAAGTCAATGATGAAATCAATAATCCACCGAAAGCGAATTAGAATATTAATAGAAATAATATGAAGATAAACAATATAGAACTGAAGAAAAACATGCACATTTCAACATGTAAATAAATGATGCAGTCGTTAAAATAAACTTCTTACAAACTTTAAATAGTCGAGATACTAAATCATTCTAAAGAGATAAAGATTCATCAAGAAAGAGTAACAAATCATATGACTGTCTCAGTTTTGATGCATATAATCTATTTATTTGTCTACTTCTGAGCAAAATCAGTGGATGCAGAGAGAAACACAAAGATTTCTCCTATCATCATCATGATAAATAGAAAGATGTCTTAACATTAACAGAAGAAGGAAAAACATACTCTAAGATAATTCAATCGATTCTATTCATTTAGCATCCTTTATTCATTTGCAAGATGATGAAAAAAAACAACTATAGTTAATTTTCTATTTTATCAGTGTTAGACTTGTTTTATTTTTCTTCCAACAATGTTTAATCTTCAGAATTTAAAAATAATTATCCATACAAAAATGAAAACAGCAATAATTTTCGATAGTTCTAAGAAAAGTTGATCGTCAAATAAATGGGCAATAGATTCTTAACATAATAAGAATAAAAGATCGTACAAGTATTAGAAACATGAAAGGAAAAAATACAGCGATAACTATGCTATATTGCAAATAGATCAAAATCACATTTTGAATTTTGAGAAAAAATAAATAAATAAACAAAGTAAACAAATAGATAATAGAAAGAGGCATCAAC